AAATATTTATCCATAGGTATTATTATGTAGATACATATAACATGAAAATTTTATAGATTTTTCCAAACGGGAGAAACAATTTGCCTTTTAGGAAATGCGATTATTCTCTATTTCCTTATCTATAAATTTTATAGTTCTAATTACAGTGATTATTTTTAGTTCCTGCCAGATAAGTTCTACAAATACATTACTAGCAAGACTTAAGAAGATGGATTAAATTTCTATCAACTGGTTTTTTCCTTAATGGTCTCCTGAGCATGGTACAAACTCATTTTTTGTTAGATCATTTACCTATATCCTTAAATTCCTTAGAATGCTCAAAAGGAACACCATCTGGTTTTTCTAATATGCTGCAATCTATTTTGAGATGATGTCCCACCTTTTAAGCATTTTCATTACTTGCAAATATCATTCTAGAGTAAGGTCTGTCTTTCACAACTTCTATAGTAAAGAAAGGTTTCCCTGCCAAATTTTTAAAAACTGTTTCATTGGATCTAGGACTTTGGGGTGGTTATGAAAACCTTAGAAGGAAAACATGACAGTCATAAACACTGACCTTTCAATGTTTATATATGTGTTGTAATTAAATTAAAAATTCTCACTGAGCTACATGAGTGTAATAACACATAAATAATGAATACTGTGCATTTCCAAAAGATTCATTTCTTGTTATTGTTCACTGCAAAATAGAAAAGTACTCATGCATGTATACGAGAAATTTTAAAAAGAGACGAAGATTCAGATTTCATGAAAGGAAAAAAACATCAGGATAATAAGGCTTAGTGAAAATACAACACATTGAAAACAGTCTTTATTATTCATAATGGCAAGACACATTTGCTTTATTTATATAGTCAGTATAGATTTTTCCATGTGAAGTTCTTAAAGACTTTTGCAGTCAAATATTACTACCCATTTCATAGATTAAGAAAGCTGGTGGGGGATGGTCATGCATATGGGGGACACATATCAACTAATTTACTGAGGATTACATGGTGGACAAGTAAAGAAACTGGGAACAGGTAATAGTTTCTGTGTGCTAAAAACCCTGCCTTGCCATATGTGTCACTGACATTTTGCACAAATGTTGACAATCATTTAACTGGCAACAAATGTTAATTTAAAAGCCCCTCATACATTGTTCTAACTTTAATATGTTAATGTTAGTTTACATATATATGTGTGTACAAACTGAATATGCCTTTATTTATAAAACACATTTATAGTTTACACACACATATACACACACAAGCTAAGACTCAGATACCTTTTGATGGAACTTCACCCCTTCATATTACTTTCAAAGGTCTTTCTAAATGATCCTCCTTAAAAGAAAGCTTCTGGCAAGTAATACAGCATATTATTCAGGCAGTTAATAAACTTGGATTTGAAATAAACTTGCAACACTTTTTGAAAAATCTGGAACCAGTCATTAGAACAATTTGAGAATATGACATGAAATTGGTACATAGTACGGACAAGAAAAAGAAAGTAAAACATATGCTAGGGATGTTTTTTTAAATCATGAATAGAGTGTTTTCTTTGTAAGTGGTTTAGACTCCAGATTGCAACTTTGACACTATGACTTAAAATTTATCAAGGATATTTATGTTTCACAACTGCCATTTTAAATAGAAGATTTACTTGAACCGGTACCTAATATGTTTTTGGTAATTAAGTCCTTTGAGGTCAGGTTTCATAGACACAGAATTTTTTTCACATTAATTCTTCTTTTGGCAATATCTTTACTGTTGGAATTAGCAGTTGAGAAAACAAAGGTAATTTTTTTATATTGAGATTCTAAGTTACAGGTATTCTGTTTCACTGATGCAAAATTTTCTTAAAAGTAGATGCTATGGAGTCACTGTAAGAAAAAAGCTGCAAATTAAATAAATCATGCATAGTAAGAAATGGAAAATCCAGTTATATAAGTACATAAGTTCTAAATGAAGGGGCTGATTAATGGAGGGTCTGCCTCATTTTAAACTTTATACTGTTATTCAGGTTATATGCACATAATACCTAAAACTTATAAACCTTATATAGAAGTTTTTTCTATTCAGTCATGAAATATTACGTAGATTACTTGGTGGATAGCACAATTTTATGAATAATGGTGTGTAATAAATTGTTGAATCAAAGACATTTCGATTGTAGCTTAATTTCATTTTAAGAATAGGAGCAATATATCTAAAAGTTGGGAGGTAAGAAACTGAGCGTATAGTGGTTTGCTGTGCCCCAAATAAGTTTTATTGAGCAAGAAAAATGTTTACTCATTAGGCATGTTTACATATTCCCACTTGTTATGTTCTCTTGTGTTGGCAAATGAAAAGACTAAACACAGTTTTCCTTCTTCAGTCTCTGTGTGGCCTTCATCATATATATTGGATAGTTTGTATGTTTTCCATGTCTATTTATGATGCATGGAAAGGAATAGTGAGTCTTCTCAGCAGTGCTTAATGAAAGCCAAGTGCTCACAAATTCCACATAATTGATTAATTCACCCAGGATACAAAGTTAAGGGATGCTGAAATCAATGGGAATTTTGACTACCAGGTCTAGTAATACTTGGCCCTCCAAAAGGTGGGTTGGGTATTTCTGTCTTTGTCACCTTAATGAGTCCTAAGAAAATACTCCTGTCTTTAGTAATGTTCCTTTTTCATTGTGCCTTTACGTGTTATTACTCCCTCATCAACAATGACACTCAAGTATTTACAAAGCTTGTACTTTTTACTCAGAGTCTTGAGATGGTAGTTTTGGGTCCATGCATGAATTTTGGAGATTATGTTTAGAGACCTAATCAGTGGTTCCCTCTAGCCCCCCGGCCCTGACATTTGCCATTGAACTTAAAAGTGTTCAAACAAATGTTTAAAAAATATTTCCTCCTATTTGTTTAGGTTAATATGTGAAATTCAGGTAAAAATAGTTATTTTTGTCTTCTGGAGAGGCTGACACTTTAACTCCCCATAGAAATACTATGCAGTACCATCCCAAACTGGAATCACAGAGTCTTGAGACATCTACCTTCTGAGATACATCTGAGGGCTTTATTCATTGCTTATAAAGGAAGGCAAGAGAAATAGTAACAATTGGAAAGTGAACAATCACAGATTGACAAAGTAGTAATACTGAGGGGGAACAACAACAACAAAAATCAACCCAGGCAGAAGACAACTTTACCAAAGCAGGCTACATTTTCGTTAACATGTTAACAGCTTTTCACATTCGGTAAAAACAGGTTTAGATGCTATCAATATTTTAGAGCGTATCACTCATAATGGGACCACACATACCTGGCACCATAGTATCTTGCCCACATATGCCTACCACATGAAAGGAAAGCATTACAAAAACGTGAAGTCTTACATGTGTTTCCGTTCTGAAGGATTTCTGTGGAACTGAATGATTATAGTTATGTATGAAATCTAGAATCCCGAATGTTAGAGCGTAGATTCTGCTGCAACTAGTATGCTCTATTATTTCATAGCCATGCAAACCATATTTATTTGATTACAATTATGAATTCACTTTAGAAATTACTTTAGTGGTCTAAAAACTCACTTCATTATGATGAAGATATTGGGGGAAAACATATACTGTCTATACTCTAGGGTCAAAGCAGTTTAAAGGTTAGATTGAAAAAAACCCAATTTCCTCAAAGCTTTTATGTCTTTGGGTAGTCTTTTAATAGGTAACTGTATCTTCATTTTACAGAATAGAGAATTTTTTTGTGTAGTTAAGAACAAGACCACTTGTACTAAATTCTGCCCATTTGAATAATTAGTTGATACTGTTTTGAATCTCTTAATTTCCAGACTTGTGAATCTAAGCTCTATTTGGTAGTTGTGTCTGGCATTTATAACTTGATAAGCGTGTCCAATCTATAAACCGTAAAAACATTAAAATATCCGTTTTTCCTAGGACAACATAGAAGAGGGAAACACGTGACGGGTTCTTGTTTGGGGATAGGAGCAGGTGAAAAGTTAGAAAGCAAAACTATCTGAAAGCCAACAAAAATCCCACCAATCTGCGAACATTCCAATATTTAGTTTTAGAAACTGTTGTCTTGTTCCCATATTCTTAAGTGCATATTTTCTTACCTCTTGTTCTCTCTCTCTTTTTTTTAAACCCAGAGAAAGCTTTATTTTCCAGCCGGAGATCTATGTCAACTTAAGAATGTTATTTCAAGGAGTGAAATGAAAGCTGTCTCCTTTGAATCACATCATGACATTCTTCAGCGTCACTGACTTTCTCTAAACGAGGAGAAAAAGAATTACGGTGTTTGCGTGTTTGCGCGTGTGTGTGTGTGTGTGTGTGTGTGTGTGTGTGTGTGTGTGTGTGTGTGTGTGTGTGTGTGTGTGTGTGTGTGTGTGTGTGTGTGTGTGTGTGTGTG